GGGGGGGGGGGGGGGGGGGGGGGGGGGGGGGGGGGGAAGAAAGAAAGAGAGAGAGAGAGCGGTGTTCCGAGAACCGCACCGCATTAGTACGGGGCATGCTGACCCGGGGTGGCTCCGTGCATCCGTGTCACCTTTAATGGGTTCCATTTCACATCGTGAAGAAAACCGGGATATCAAAATTGGCTGACTGCCGAAGAGTTTCTTATATGTTTGAGAGAGGGAAGGGTCTTGGTAGGTGACGACAACCCTGTTTTGCCATTTTCTTTATTCGCCCCGCTGATCATTCAGAATTTTTTTCTTGCCACGAAAACCCAAGAAAAAACACAGACTGAGACTTACAGTCCCCGAGTCTGTCTCTCCATTTTGAAGATGATAGCCCTCACCCTTCTAGAAATCCACGAGGGATGAATGAGTCTCGAGGAGGAATAAAAGGAAATGTGCGCTGGGTGCACATCCCGCAAAAAAAAAAAAAAAATGGAGACGCACCCAGTTCAATCCGGTTTGCGAAGGGAGGAGGGGGAAAAGCTCGGGATTTCAAGGTCTTGGTGTATAAAATCCTTCTCATCGTTCCACGCCTTAAGGTTCCTATCTTGGAAATTGAATTTTTCATAGTTCCTCTCTCTGCTCCTGAGAGACAGGCATTCTGACAATTTTCTTGCTTGGTTCGTCCGGTATCTCCCGAAACCCATTTTGTAGAAGCGTCTTGCACCCGAGAGCACGTTCTCTCGAAAGATCGAGTTCTCGAAATGACAATTACCCAAAAACAGCACCGAAACGACATCTTGCAGAATTATATTTTTTCGAGTCAAATTCTTGTATTGTTCAATAATTAAAAGACAGCTATGTTTTTGGTCGTATTGCCAAGTCGACTTTTTCCTGCATTCGCCATCTGAGAACATGAAGAAATACAGGCGTCTCAGTGACGAAAGGATGAACCATTTCTTCAGACATTTGGTCAAACCTTGTACCGAATTCGATATTTTATGGGGTTCCTCGGAGGGAGATCACGACTATCTAAATATTCCAGGATCGGTTCTATTTTTTGATCCTACGTATCGTCTTTTTCTTCTTCCTTCTCCTGTGAAAGCAACCCTCGGGAATTTGATCGCTTCGGCCGATCGTGGCATCGATGAAGTGGATCCTTTGGTAATACGTTTTTCGGGGAAACGGGATGAACCTAGCAAAAAAGGAAGCGTGCTCCCGTGAATGCGGCTCAACGTCGTACTCCCCCTCCCCCCATTTCCTTAATCAGAGAAGGAACTCGGTTCCGGCCACTTCACCCGACAGACCCAAGCAATACGTGCACGATTTTTTCTCTTTTTGAGACCGGAACCAAATGATGACACCGGGCATGACGCCAGACTTTTCCTGTCTGTTCCATGTTTTAAGAATTGGTTTAGATTTAGTTTAGTTAGGCAGAGGCGAGGCCCCTGGTCTCTTCCTGGCATTAAAATCGACACCCAACATCACTGCATAACCCGACACAGACATCTCTTATTGCGACTGACGTCTACTTGGAATCGAACACTCATTTTGATCATTTGAGGACTGATTTTGTTCTTCATTAATAGATACTCCTTGGCCTATTAGGAATTCTCTGAGAAATCTTGAGAAGTATTTCAAATTCACTCGATAAATTTACCTTGCCATTAGAAATAGTTCATCAACTACAAAAGATCTAATAAATAAAATGAGTTATGCATCTGCATCAGATGTAAAACTGTACATACAATAAGCAAGACTTATCTTTAGGTACACCTTCAGATCGCACTTGATGAAAACACAGCGACAAGAACAGCGGTATTACATGACAAACTTTTGTCACAATTTGGCATCGAGTTTCTATATTTTAAGAAAAGTTCGAATCATTGCCCTTTGCACCATTTAAAGGCTAATAAAGGACCAGAGGAAGGCCTGGAGAAATAACGTTGCAGGACAAAGGCTTCCATCCGTAACTTTTAACGACAAAATATTTTTTCTTCCTCCATTTTCAAAATATGACTTTTGTCCAAGAATTTCAGACTTTTGTACCAATGTGTGGCGGTGCGATTCTTGGTACAGGAGGTACAACGCGCAGGAGATTTGCATACTCACAATAAGCTTCGTGCTGCATGAGGCAGGGAAGAGCCACGCCCTTATAGTTGGGAGGGGGTCGCCCAGTTTAAAAATAAAGAATAATCAGCTGCTCGTCGAATAGACAATTGCGGTTTTTTTTTTTTTTACCCTGGCATCTCCGCATGACGAAGTCAGATTTAGAACTACCGAGACTACTTTTCAGTTGTGCCGTACGTGTAGTCCGGCCGGCCGGTCGAGTTGGTGGCTTCCGTACGAGGTGGCGGGCAAGGGAAGCACGGGGCACATGCGCGATACGCTTTCTCCCTTATCCCATCCCACCTCCACGTGCTTTCGAGTGCATCCTCTTCCTCGTGCAAGCTCCATCAAGGAACTCTCTTACTCATGCTCTCATTCCACCAGTCTCTCACCTGCGGTTTCGTATTAGTGGGCACGATGATCAGATGCTCGTTCACGATCGTCGTAGAGCAAGGTTGCTGCGGTTGCTTCTGTCAGCTGCAGATAGCGAACGAAACGAGCTGTATCCTGAAGCGCTTAAAAATACGACCGAGAATTCGTCTCAAACCGACATCATTGAAAAGTTTGATTATGATTTTTGTCGTGGGTCCTTCTTACGAGAACTTCCAGAATTCAGAGGCCGTGTCTATCTGGGGAAGCGAATGCGATGTGCAAGTATTATCTTCGCGTCCTTTAGTTTTTGGAGATGAGTGCGGAGTTTGACATTACTTCCATTAAAATTTATTCAAAGTTTTTTTCTGTATTATTTTTAATATCTAAAGGCTGCAGTTTAAAAACATTGAGGGAGGAGGTGGAGGGAGGGATCGTCACACAAGCCATAAATCGAGGAGCCCGCCCAGTTTCGGAAATTTCCTTGCTAGAAGATTGCATGACTTATCGAACGATGATAGTTTTTTAATGTCCACTTTATGGACACATTTTCGTAAAATGAGAAGCAATTTTAAAATATAATCTCTTGTTTATTGAAGCTTGTTTGTTTCTGAAGTCAGCCCTCAAGGTACATGGCTTAGTGCCTTTGGTAACACATACAGGGTGACCCAAAAAAGAAGGTAACTGATATTGTTCCTGTTTGGAGCCCATCTTTTACTCGGAAAGCTTTGAAGCGTCATTGCAAAACAGTCACACACTTCATCTCTGTGTACATCAGCACAATTTTATTCTTTTGCTACATTGTCAGATATTCCCTAATCCTTCATGTCCAAACATACACTCAACAGTTTTTCCAGGTCCTATTACAGCTCCCAGTCACAGGTTATGCAGCTGTCTTTCTGAGAGCCAACATATAGCAAAAGAAAAACTGTCATCATTTTGTGGCCCACCCTGTATGAGTATGCTTTGTGACTGCATTATTGATCCATGAATGGAGGACTGATGGAAGATGTTTAGCACAATTTCATATTTAAGATTTTGAAAACAAGTGATTGCATTTGTAACTGTAGCCACACTCCAGATTATTTACAGAAATGCATTCAGCATAAAGCTGACTAATGGATATTATACTGATCCATTAAATTTACAAATGAACTGTGGCCAATGGACTTAGTGGGCACTCTATGTTTAAAAAATTTAAGGTTGATACCACTCAAATCCATTCTCGCAACTGGTCCCTTTGTTATGGAATCATGGAGAAGACTTCAATGTGTGAAGTTGTACTTTGGAAGTGAAATGCTTAAATAATGAATGTTTCCATGATAAACCATGACTAAAATACCTAATTCAATTTGCCAATGTCTCCTAATATCTTATCAATATCTCAATATTATTCTGGAATATCTCATTATTTGGTGAATGAGTGCTTGAATTATGAAAGCCACTCCTTGCAAAATTATTATGAATTTTAACCCTTTCATCCACGGTGTCCACTGTAGTGGACAGCAAAATTATTGGCTATGATATGGCTTTTCAGTCATGGTACACATGCCTTGAAGCTTTTGGTACATGCAGTCAACTCAAGGGCACATAATCTGTTCAATGTTGCTTTTTCAAGGTGGAATGTGTGACTACTACAGCAGAGTACCTCCTTAAACATTAAAGCTAAAAAGGCTATTTTTTTGCTTAAAAAATGCATGCATGAAAGGGTTAACATTGACCTTTGTTATTATGTCTTTTTCTCTTTCCCAATGATGTTTTGGCAGTCTTTCTTAACTGATATAATTCCTACTATGGGTGAACCTTTGTATTTCAGCAAAAACCTTGGCATATTTGTGCCAGCAACGCCATGTCTGGAGACGGTCTTGCCGATGGCTTGGAATGGTTGTCAGATCAAGTGTTGAACAACCCTGCACAGTGATCTCATCTTTATCTACCTATACCCAGATCTCAGGCATTACATCTAGTCCATTCCACTGCATTTGTGATCTCATATGCACTGTTTCTGTGGTATGACATGCTTTGATTCTATTCCCATTTCACAGAACTTGAACATATTTTGAGTGAAAATTTTCTTTTGCTGATAATTAAAAAGGATATTGGAGAATGTCTATTCAAGGCTCTCAATGATTTCACATCCACATCCACAGACCAGATGAACTTTGATTCATTCAGGGTCATATGTAGATTTGTGAATCAGTGAAGGGTTCTTAATTGCATGATTGCACAAGGCCTGCCACCTCCATGAATCCATGAATCCTTGAACAGCAGGTTGTTGCAAGTTTGCAACCTGTCTAAAAACCTGGAATGCAATTGAGATATCCATTTGAATGTCCTCTACCTCTACCAACTTAATGCTAGAAGAACTTGTACTCTCTATTAGTCTGGGATAGGCCTTGTCTGAGAACAAGTGAAAATGCATTGATTAGTAAGAGGATAAGTTGTTGGAGTAAGGTTATGTGACTTATGGGTCTGGGACATTAGTAAATATATACTAGATGGCACTTAAAAATCTAGATATTTTCCCATTTATTTTTCTATTTCCAAATGAGATAGAGGCCTACAAATTCATACTAAGTATGCATCTATCTTTCCTCTTGGCCCAATGAAAACTATGAATTTGTAGCTACCATAGTTCACCTACAATAGCTGTCCAACTAGGACACCTAAAAAAATGCTTCATATCACACCTCACCTTATCGAAACAGGTCCTCCTTTGGCATTGTATATGGCATGTAATCTTACTTTCCATTAAGTGATGAACTTGCAAATCTCTTCCATGGTAGTCCCATCCCAGGCCTGTTGAATTCTGACCTGCTGTTCAGCAATGAAGTGATCCATCTTGGATTGCTCGACTCACAAGCTGGACTTTTGGTATCAAAAAAGTGGTCAGCTTGATGTCATACCATGCTCATGCAGTAGCCCTTCTGAACTATGCATGATGTGAACAATTTTGAAGTGTTTTAGTTAAACAACCACTATCTATCTATTCCAGTTAGCCACCATTGAAATTTATAGTTTTCATGGAACCAAGAGGAAAGGTAGAAGTGTAAGAGGTATGATTTGCACACCTCTTCCTCATCTGGAAGTTGAGAAATAGACAACAAAAAAATATTGCCACATTTTTTATGTGCCACTCATGTTAACTTTGACCAATTGTGAGTTAGAGTAAGTGCTTTGGTGGCTGTCTCAATCATTTGAAAAAATATAGATTTCTCCATGCTGAAGGAATTTCCTGCATATTGGTAATTCACAGAGATAGGTGTAGTTGCAATGAAAGATGTAAGGGTGTAATTTCTGGATTTGGTAGACTTAGCTATTTCAAAGAATTTATGTGAAAGTTATATTTTATTGCAGAATGGTGAAGCAATAGAAAAATTGCCAGCATATTATTAGTCATATCCGAAGGCCTCCATTTTGCATGCACAAACCTGATGAAGTTGTCATAATCTCTATTTTAAAAGGTGTTGCTGTGGATACTTTTTTGTTTGCATTTACCTCCAATACTATTAATACTTGTACTATTCATTTTGGGAAGTCTGACTAGAGCAGATTGAGTTGAGAAGGTCAAGACTCCAGACAGACCAAAGAGGTTGAGAGCAGCGTAGTATTGCTCTTGGGGTCATCATCTGTCATTTTTTCAATGCTCAGGAAGCAACAGTCTGCTCCTAGCATTCCATAGTGCAATTAATATTTTTCATGGCATTGACTTCCATATTTATATTTAATATCAGTCATTTATTGGATCATAGTATGATAGGTGAGGAGAATGGTAGCTTCACCTACAAAATGGGATTTTATGAAGTGTGTCATCAAATGTGCAATCTTTTCAAGAATTCTATTGTTGAGCTTGCAGGTGAGTGCTCTAAAAGTGTTGTTTCTTTATGTTTGTGGAGTTTATTCATAAGTTTGTGGAGATGTTCATGGCATATCACTGCTTCATACCTGAATCAGAGTATGCAACAGTAGAATTCAGTTATATTGGCCAAAAAATATACCTATATCTCTTTTTGCAGTACTCATGTTCTTGTGACATGGTCTTGTGGTGGAGGGGCCACTCATCGCTTAATCTGATCTGATTAGCTTTTCTTTTCTATGCCATGAACTATAAGCTGTATCTGTTGCAAATCATTATTCCCACATGATTTATAAGATTCTTTCTCCTAATCACAGATACCATAAGATTTTATTTTCATCATACTCCCAGATTTCAGTTATTATGCTCTCTCTGCTCCATTTTTCTCAACTCTATTTTTTTCTCTTCTAGTGTGTGGGGAACTTGTTGATACCAGATCATGATGCTGGTGTATTTCTTGTGTACAAGGACCCAATTGCTTCAAAGCCATTGGATAAGATAGCTGAGGTTGCACTTGGAGGTTTGATTTGCTGGGATGGACAGCATTTCCTCCAAATTGCATTACATGGCTATCAGCGAGAACCATCAACAGCATTCTTCCCCCTCTTCCCCCTGTTTGTTAGAGAGCTCCATAATTATATCTTCCCAGATGAAATGGAGATTTACATTTCTCCACAGTGGAGTCTTGCCATCATAGGCATTGTCCTCAATTTCTTTCTATTTGTCCTGTCAGCATTGGCAATGTTCTGCCTGACTTTTTACATCTTCCAGGATCTTAATTTTGCTGTCACTGCAGGTCAATTGTTTTGCTTCAATCCTGCCAGTATATTCTTCAGTGCCATGTATTCAGAGTCTATGTTTTGCGTCTTCACATTCCTTGGGTTGGTTCTTTTGCATAGACATGAGAAATTCTCTGTCATAGATTGCCTCATGTCATCCATTTGTTTTGCCTTGGCTGGTGCAACTAGGTCTAATGGAGTCCTTTTGGTGGGATTTATTCTCCATCGCATCCTGTCTGAAGGGATTTTCAAGTTGCAGAAGAAACAGTTGATGTTCCCTTCCCTTTTGAAGATGTCTCTACTTGCCATTCTGTGTAGTCTGGTGTGCCTTGCACCTTATGTTTTATTCCAGTTATATTTATATTGGAAGTTGTGTGATTTTGGGGATTCATTGACAGCCCTTTTCAAGCCAGATTGGTGTCATCAATCCATTCCCTTTTCATATGGTCATGTCCAAGCCAAATATTGGGAAGTTGGTTTCCTTCGCTACTACCAGTGGAGGAAAGTGCCCAATTTCCTATTGGCTGCTCCCATTTTGGGTCTAGTCCTACATGGAACGGGTCTCTTCTTGAAAAGACGACGAGATCTCCTTTCAACTCTTGGCCTCTATTCATCCAGCAAGGAATCCTATTCACCAAACCAGGCCTTGTTTGCATACACAGTGCACTGTCTCTTCCTTGCATGCTTTTCCATCCTCTTCATCCATATCGAAGTGAGTAATCTTTCTTCTCTGGTCATTTAGTATGAGGTTTTACAGAGGAAGGGGGCTTGGGATGAAAAGAACTTAATTCAGTTTTCGCATCATGTGCCAGGCTACCAGGACATCTGTAACATTATGCTTCTCAAGTGTATCATTTCAATCAAATTCACACAAATTTATTAAACAAAACACATCCAGCTAAGAAGTGTAGAGGGGTGAAGGACACATTGAATCATTATCATCATTATTGATTAATGTGTTTGTGGGATGTAAAATCTGTGAAAGAGAATGCATTTCACTTAAAATTATTATTTTCTGATAGCAGATATCTCGTGAAGGTTAAGGAGCAATCATGTTATTATAATCTAAAAGGAGATTGTATGCTTGCATTTAAAGTTATTGTGTTTTTGTCGCTTTGTCGCTCACAGTGGAATTGTCCCTTCATGATTTCTCATTAACCCTACTTAACAGGAGCTAAAAAGAAATCTTATCTTTGGAGCTGAGCTGACTTCGGTTTGTTCAATTGAAAATTTCTGCATATTTCCATACCCAGGTGAGTACCAGGCTGTTGTGCTCTGGCACCCCAGTTCCAATCTGGCTTGCTTCAAGACACATACTGGGAAAAGATTTTTACCTGGATCCTCAGCACAAAGTGAGCCATTTATCATTCCTATTTCTACATATTTTTCTGCGTGGTCAGTGGCAGGCACTGCCCCCAAGTATTGCGTAAGACGTCTGCGTATTAGGCATTCCCCTTGTTCCCTAAATTACTGCATGAATGTTTATCTTGGGTGATGTTTGTGATTATTTTCTTTATCCCTAGAAATTAAGTGTTTCTTAACCCCTTAAATGGACTCGCCGCATATGTGCGGTCTGGCACCTGCCATCTCTCAATGGAATCACCGCACATATGCCTTCAAAAGTTCCCAGTTAAGGGGTTAATTGCTGCTTGCGCAAGAAATTGATATTGTCTGAAGCAAGAAAGTTTGACGTATCAACCATTTCAGCATTTTCTTTTATCCCACTGGGACAGTGAAATGAAAATTAGTATATCAGTTAAGGACAGAGATATGAACAGCGCCGTACCGAGAATATTTGGCGAGATATCAATCCAGCAACCCCCCCCCCCCCCCTCTATACCCCTAGCTTCCCCAGCACCTACAATACTTTACATATTATTTTCTATGTTTAATTTAGTTAAATCAGGATAATTTGAATTTTAAAAATAGTTTAATTCATATTTTGTAGTGATTTGGCAGACAATTTGTGCCCTGTATTGGCGCACTGCTCGCTGCCCCTCGGTACGGATCGGGATTTAAAAACTCACTTCATACATTTTTAAAACGTTTTCTCAATGTATCTTGTTATTGAGAGTCTGATTTGTTTCATCTTTTGCAAATTGAGCTAGATATATGAACTCTATGTGGGGATCCAAAGTCAATACTGGTAATTAAATGTTTCTAGCACCATCAGACTGAATATGCCAGTTGAATTATCTCGAGTCCAGGGGTCTTAACGGTTAACTGTGTAACCGGCTAACCGATGGATCTGTTCTAACAGGTTATTAAAATTTGGCTTCGATTAACCGGCAAGATATATGCTCCTCTTCGGTATCCGACATAAAAAATGCAGGTGTCTCTTAGGCGTTGGGTTGGGAAGTTCTTTCGACCGCGACAGAAGACGCGGGAAAAAATAACACGTGCTGCGCTTTTCTCTCTCCTTGGGGGTCCCCTCCCATCTTGTTAGTTTTGTTTAAATTATTATTATTATTCATTTTCTGTGGAGAAAGAAAAAAATTTTGACGCAAGGAGTGGCACTCGATCACGCTGCCCTTCCTCCTTTTTTAAAAATATATTCTCCCGATGTTGCATTCTTCGCGTCATGTCCGGTTACTCCCTGTCTCACTCCCTGGGTCGCATCTGGACTCTCAAGGACATATCTGGAAGGGGGATCTTATCCTTCCTCGCAAGTCATTTTGTCGTGGAGAACGTATGATGAATTATCGAGGGAAGAGAAAACTTCGGTTTCTTCGTAGTAGTCTCCTAGTTTTTTCACCTCATTTTTTCATTTTGGTCAATCGTCTGGTGTCTGGGTATATTACGCCAATAACAGGTTAATTATTTAATCGGAAATGGAGACCCTAGTCAAGACCGGCCCTAGTTATTTCGGCACCCTGTGCAAAGAGACGCCCCCCCCCCGAGTTTGAAGCGTAAGGAGTCCTAAAGCGACGCTTACGTTACATGTACACTACATGCCCTTCATTACCCCCCCCCCCCCCCCCCCCCCCCCGAAGGAAGAAGGGTCAATCCCTAGCGCCCAAAAAGATGCCGAAACGGAAGACATTTCCACTTACTCCAGTAAAATTGAGGGTGGCATAGTTTATTATTGTTCCATTCATTCTGGCACGTTTTGGCGCCCTGTGCGGGGGCACATGTGGCACATGCCTAAGACCGGCCCTGACTCTAGTTGTATCCCTTACTCATTGTCGTGTGTTGTCTGTCTTGCAGTCGCGAGAAGTGCGACATGTGGACTGGGGTCTCGCTTCGATTGTGAAGAGGAGTGGGAAGGTCCCGCAAGATGCCATCAAAACCTATTTTCTCTCATACTTTGTCATTGGCACTGTCCTTTTTTCCAATTTCCTTCCATGGACTTGAATAAAATTGGCCTTGTCATCCCACCGCTCAACTCTGTCCTACCAGTTTCATTTTTTCAATACCTTTTTTCCTGAAGGAGGTGCCACCTATATTCACGTATATACAGTATGTCACAGAGGGTATTCCCAAATGCCCAAGTTAGGAACTAATTAGCTTTTCTGTTGAATTCGAAATGAATGAAGGGCATGTAGTGTACATGTAACGTAAGCGTCGCTTTAGGACTCCTTACGCTTCAAACTCGGGGGCTTGTTCTATCCCGTTGACTCCTTCAGGTGAAATCCACTTGAGATGACCCGTCGACCTCTCATTTTCTTTTCTCCTTTTGATAGCACTTTGCTATCTTTGCTATCAATTCATTGAAAGGAGATGGGATAGGAAGTATCCAATCCGCTTACAATACTTTCATCATAGAATTCTTGAACATTAGAAGGAAGCACCGAGTAGATGAATTTCTTATGTTCTAGGATTCTTTCAGCTCCGTCGAGCTGGCACTGACGGCACGAAACGTGCCGAAATTCTCTGAATTTCGCTTCGGAATCCCTCTGGCTCGATATTTCAGCACGAAGCAATGGAATCCCACGGGCTACTATGAAAGAAGGACACGGAAACGTAAACATCTAGCTAGGAGGTATTTTTTTTTAAATCGCATAATATGCAGTTAACCAATTTCTAATCGAGATTGAAGGCTGTACGTGTGCCTTGGGACGAACCAACGATGAGGATTTCTTTATCCGCGTTTGCTTCGATGGAATCTTATTTCTCATGGGCAGTGTTGGGTGCATTAGTTGTAAAAAGTAACTAGTTACAATTACAAGTATTCCATCCAAAAGATAATTAGTTACCAGTAGAATTACTTCTCACCAAAAGTAGCTAATTACAAGTAGAAGTTACTTTTCCTGAACAAAAATTCTGATCTTTCGACAGCTTCTCCACTTCTTTGACAGAAGCTGGATGCATGCATTGAAAGCAAACGTTACCCCTGATTTCAAGAAAATTGAATTGTGATAAATATTCATGCTCACTCTTTTCCCAATGCCTCTTCCCTTCCCATGGGCTGAAAAACCATGCTTTCTCGTATCGATATCATGTCACCGCCTTTCATCCCGTCTCATGCGAATGGGATTCATCACCGTTAGTCCTAGTGACTTTCTTCCGATCGATTTCTCTTGCGATTCGCAAGAACGAGTTTGAAAGCCCAGTTCGATGGCAGTTTGAGGAGAAAATGAAGTCTCCCACGATCCGGAGTTGACGAGAGGTGGAGGTGAGGGTCGCGAAGTGAAGGAGAAGAAAGTCAATTGAATGAGCTCATTTCGCTCGATGGGTAAGGAAATGAGCACCGGGAGCAGTCAAGGATGTTCGTGCTGTATTTGTTCAGGCAATCGTCAGAACGGAAGGTCATCCTCGTGCGCCAATAAGCTTGTCTGAAATGCAGCAAAAATGGGCGCGAGGTCAAATGCTCCTTTCATCTCGTACGGAAACGCACAATCCAAGTTGAAATGCTCATGGATTTACCAGTACAGTTTCAACGTACATCGGAGGGGCTGCTTGCCTATGACTGATGCACACTGTTTTTCATTATAGTCTGGTGGAAAAGTGTATGACTCGAGTGAAAAACGTTGTAGCACTGAAAATATGACGCCAACGTGTCAGTGCCATCTTCGCCATATTCCCATAATACGAATGTACTTTTGAGGATGTCCTACTTACACTCGATACCGCCTGAGGAGAGAGTGGTGAGCAGAATAAATCAGGACGGAAACCCCATTTGAAGAATCCGGCATAGAACCATCTGGCAGGGACGTCATTTCGTACTCTGCAGGGAGGGAGGGGGAGCAAGTGGGTCAGAGGACGACGAAGAGCTGTGGGTGAGACAGAGGTTTTTCATTTTTCAGTACCATCACGTGTCCGCAAGTGGACACTTAAAAGTGCTTCAGATGAGTTCTGGACTGCCGATGCGTCACCGTCCAGGTTCCTTCCATTCACTCACTCAAGTTCCAAAGGAATGGTGTTTAATGAAGGAGAAGCGCGTGTGATACCTCAAACGGCCCGGGTCCAATCATATGCCGTGTTTCCGCTAGCGATCACGTTTCAGAAATTAAATAAATAATGAAAGTATCTAAATTGCAGGGCTGCGAATCGATTAAAAAATGTAGTGGATCGATCGTGAGCCATTTGGCCGATCGAACGGATTTTAATCGCGTCTCCATTTCCCTCCCTGGGTGTGGCGAAATAATACAAACGATTACGAGTCGATCGGGAGCGGTCGTTGCTGTCTCGCACGACCAGCTTCGATACGTGCACGGAATCGGGTCGGCCCGAATGGAAGGACCTTTGGCTTCGGACGCGATGGGGACGAGAGCGTTGAGAAACTCCGTAGGCTCTCCCCGGGTTTCCATGCAGCCTCTGGCGTGAAAGAGGAAAAGAAACACTGGTACGCTGAGCACTCGAGCGAAGGTTGAAGCAGAGATTCGTCCTTCTCGTCTCTCTTTCCCTCACCTTTTGTCTCATTTGCCTTCCTTTCGCCTTTCTTTCCTTTCGTCTTTCGACAAGGACTTGTCCCCATTCGTTCATGATGATCCCGTAATTGCTTCTCGAATGAGTGCCACCATATCCTGCTAGCCTATTTCACTGCGTACAAAGCTTTGGGAAATTAATCGTGTTCAGAGACAGTTTCCTCATGGTTTCAGTGACTAATAGCCTGAAAAAAAGAAGCCTCTCGACGAGGAGCTCCTTTGCACCAACGAGGATCGGAGTGGAGCGTATTTTTATTGCTGGAATTCTATCTCAAAGCTTCGAATGGGATCGCATGCAGAACGGATCCTCTGAAGCAGACATGATCGGAACGACCCCGAGAATACTTTTTTTCCGCGCGCTTGGGACATTTTGTCATTCGGGAAAGGTCTGAACTGTACAACATGGCATACAGTGGATTAAGATCCACTCCAATTCAGTGCATATGTGAAATTCGCTCCGGAGTGGAAACGATCATCGCCGACCCGGGTTAGGGTGCAGAAATCGTAACGACTCTCGCACGTGTCGAGTCACGATTGCAAGGAGACCGAGGCGATTGAAGTCTTCGATAAGCGATGCCTCGTGGCATCGACTCGAGGGGTTCGAACGAGACGGAGGGAAGCAGGAGAGGAAAAGAATAATGAGACTCATGCAGGGAAGGGAAAGTGAAGTTGGGGAGGGAAGAATTTAACCCCGATCCTACTTCCTACGTTTCGGCTGCGTGCCGTCTGGATGCCTGTGGAGAGCAGACATTATTGGCTTCTCTCTATCGTCTCCATCGTGTCCCACGTCCATTCGAGTTGTCCGCTGGACTCACTACGACATATTTCGGTCTATTACTGTCATGATTTTTTTCGTAGAAAAATGAGCTTTCGTGACTTTGTCACCTTGTTCGTGCTCTTCAAAAATACAAAGAAATTTACAAAGAAATACATACCGTAACCGCAGCAAACGGCCTTATTTTACATGCGAGTCTGACAGACTCACCTTGTCAAACGGCCTTATTTTACATGTGAGTCTGACAGACTCACCTTGCCCGGAATAGGTTGTAAAAAAGCTTGCCCGGATGAGGGTTAAAAGCGGTTTTCACTTTCCTCGCGAAGCCCTCGCTTCTTGCATCATACGGGGGTAAAAATCGAATTTTTCTTTCTCTTCTCGAGAGAAAAAAAGAGACCACATATTTATTTTCAGAAGAACGAGTCATCGTTCCGTCGGATTTCAGTCACAAAAAAAATTATTTCAGGCTCTTCGGCGAAACTTCGGCTCTATGTAATGAAACATGGAAGAGGAAGGGAGCCATTCGAGGAGAGGCTTAAGAATAAACTAAAATTGGATTAATTTTTTTCGATTAATTAAAAGAATCGCGACTCATCGAGTTATCAATAGATGAAAGTTGTCAACCCTGCTAAATTATGATCTTCAAATCGAGCCACATGTTCTGTGTTCTGTCCTGTTGTGATCATATAGTTAATAAGGCAAATATATATATTTGGAAAATCTATGAAACGCATAAACGCGATCAGCCCATTTTATTTATAACATTCTATATAAGAATAGCCGACGTTTGTGTGTCCACTGCCTGCACTGATCGATTTTCCCGAACCCGATCCGATCGGCACGATACGAATCGTGGCCCTACCCGACCCGAAACTCGATTGCCGAGCTTTGCGGACTCCAGCCGCGTGTCGTGTCGGGCCGAACCGCCAGGCCTGCAGCCCGCTTAGGCCTCTGAGCTTCAGAACTCGAGGTCTTCGAGTACGTCGTCTTTCTAAGCGACTGTGCTGGCTGTGCTGATGCTTCCAACATCCGATGAGATCACATTCGTGCTCGCCTGTTTAACACTCTCATAGTTCACTACGTTTCGCTCCGAGAGCGAAATCATTTAATGATGTAGTTGTATCAAGCGCTGAGGGAAGGAAGTGTCTTTTTTGGCAGCAGCAGCAAACAGCTGGAGAAAAAGACACGCCCTTTCATTAAGTATTCTTCCACATCCGACCGGAAACTTCATTCCAAACCGAACTGCATGCCGATCCGTGGGTGGGTCGATCCAATCGTACCGATTCGCATTCCGTGCAGAGCTCAAAATTATCCCCTACTCTTAATTTAATACCCGGGAGTTCGACATCCGAATGACGTGCCTCAATTGAATGCTACGGCGCAGAACCTCTTATTGAATAAAAGTGCGGCTTTTTCAAGTTCAAACCTCATTTTCAGCATCATATGAGACAGAACTCACTGGAAATCATTATGAAGGAAATTCGAGATTGGGGAAGGGGGAAAAAGAGGAGGATGGGACGCATCCAATGCTATCGATCCGAAATGTGGCTGTTAACAATTCTAACGGTGTGTCCTATTCGAGCGCTATGGGACTGAAGTCGATTAACTTCATTTTAAAGGACGTGAAAGCTTCACGAGTTACAGCCAGTAAACAATATTTCGGTACCGGCGGAGTTCCCAAGTTGGACTCTCTCGAGCTTCTGAGGAGGCGCGCGGAAATAGGAGGAATTTCATCGAAGCCGTTAGGAAATCCCTAGAAAGACCGTACCGGTTTTCATTCCATCTCCCTGTCGTCGGATGGGTGTTCGTGGTCCATCCGAAGGGAAAACACCATACCGAAATGAGGACCTTGGGCTCCCAGTAGGTATGCGACGCGTCGAATGTGATTGAATTGCGAAATGAGGCAATAGGCACATACGCGACGCGATGTCGCTTCTGTCGTGACCCGAGGCCATGGGCTGGATCCTCGTTTCCTTCCTGCCGGTGCTTCCGCAATACCGCTTCTCTGCCCGCATCCTTCGCTCCTCCAAACATTGCCACACTCGCGACCGTGAAGTAACCGTCGGGACGATCGTCCTCTGTGAAGAGTCTGCAGCGTTCTCACCGCATGGAACGTACCGGTCGGTGAGCTCTTGGTCTTGGCGTCTCGGTTCCCAGCGGCATCGCCGCGATGTGCGCGCGGTAAATCGTTTTGCGTGGTGCGAGAATGACCGACGAAACGACCCTACCTCCGGCAATGGAGCTGAAAACTCTGTCCGTCATCGACTACGCGGTGTTCGCCGGATCTCTGCTATTGACTCTCCTCATCGGATTATATCAAGCATGGAAGGGGAGGAAGGATTCGGCAAAGGAACTGGTGGTCGCCTCCAAGGGGCTATCGCTGGGTCCCATCACTCTGTCCCTCGTCGCCACCTACATGTCTGCCGTCCTTCTGCTCGGTATCTAATCGCCATCTTTTCTCTACGTAATTCACAATTAGGAAGAATTCCGTTGGATTTTTGAAAATTTTATTGCCATCCTCCTTTCGTGCCGTAAAAATGTCACCGTCATGCATTCCGTCGACGATTTTTCACAAGGACGATGCCAGCTTCCGGTTTCCGGCTCTGCTCATCATGCAACTGCGTGGAGAGATAAAATGTTCTGCTTTTGGTTCGCTTTGTGCAGCATTTACTTTATTGACACTGCGTGTTAGCCCTCGGTGAATACGTGGCAACGCCCGCCTCATTCTGTTGCTTATGAATGCCTCTGCACGAAAAAATTCCTATATTTCTGTCTTCATGGGAAAATACGGAGCTGATACTTCATTTACGAGCAGGGAGACGAGTGTCTGAGATTTAATTAACCAGCGGTGGATACTGTCCGACCTTGCACGACACGCTATGTGATGCGCGTATGTACGTGCATAGCACATAAAATAGGAGGAAATTAAGTTAGGAGAGTAGACCTTGACACAGGCACCATGGAGGTTCATGCATTTCCTCAGGTGTTTCTTATATCGTTTACACTTGTAACAAAATTTCCAAACACCCCGTATTTCCCATTCCATTCACCCATTCGTAATTCCTGCCGCCCCGTCATTCTCTGCGTGAAGAATGCATGATGCGTCTGCAACCTTGAGCAATACTTGTCCCCGGGGAGTGGTCCTGGCGGATTTTATTCGATTCGAAATCGTGATTTCAATTTTGGAAGCAATTCAGAGACTTTTCGATAAAATACAACTCAAAACCTCGATGAGAAATGAGCATGAACTTTCGCAACGCTTTCGTCCCGGAAGCGAAGAGTGCTTTTCTTCTCGTCGATGACTTCCCCTTGAAAGAGAAAATGACTTCCCCTTGAAAAGGGGATGACGCAAGCAACGGGATGGTGGAGGACGAGCATCGGAAGACGCGTTGAACTAGTCGAGGGTCTTAGCGTCTTCATAGCGATGGATTGTCGAAGTCGATTACATGTGTCTGCTGTTTACCGTACTTCGTCTGAAAGCGGGTTATGATAGGTTCACCTTTGCAGGACGAACAGCCGTCGAGATTCTGGGACGATGAGATGGGCTCTTTTCGCATCATTACTTATCATTGTGCAACTCAGCGTCTATGAGAAGCACATCCGTATCTCATTAATATGGATATGAACCCTTGTACCGATCAAATAAAAAACCTGCAAGGCTGTGTCCTTCACTCGGCCGAATGCGAAGGCCAGACCTTGCTTACAGCTACTGGGGTAAGGACGAAGGAATAAAATTTAGATTTAGCTTCAGTCCGATCGAGGGTTTTCTCAATTATTTCTCTAATGCTTAGTGTAGACTACCGATTGCACGAAGATCCTCGCCTCCGTGACAGTGCGTGGCATTCTTGGAACCATGAAGCTTCGTATCTTCCTGTATACGGAGGAAAACTGGGCATTCGAGCTCCGATATCGCCTTGCTAATGCACGGGGCTCTTAGAACTTTTCGTCTTGGGTGTATACCGGTAAGCACCGGTTTTCTCAGTCGTCGCACGTGGTATATTAACGACCGAAATGTCTCTAGGGACGCCGGCTGAAATATATGCGAATGGGACTCAATGGTGGATTACGATCATCGGGTTCATGATAGGAATCCCACTGGCCAGTCTCATCTTTCTGCCCATCTTCTATCGCCTCAAGCCGACCAGCATTTTCCAAGTTCGCCATTCCGTCTTCCATTCGCCGGCTGGACGCGCCTTGTAACCCGACGTCTTCTCTTTTGCTTGCCCATTTTACAGTATTTCGAGCTGAGGTACAACTCGAAGATGGTGCGAACTTTTGCCAGTCTCCTGTACGTGTTTCAAATGACCCTTTACATGGGTGTAGCCTTGTATGCCCCCGTGGTTGCCGTCACTGCCATGACCACCATCCCCGAATGGCTCGCCATCGGGGTCGCCGGGGCCATCTGTACCCTCTATACAGCCATCGTGAGTCCTCATGCCAAGTCACATCACTGTGAATTCGGATCGGCGCCCCGTACATTTTAATGTTCGCTTTTTCGTATTCGCGTCGATATCATATGGCTGAAATGCAAATTACACGTTGAAATCCGTTTAGTTCGTCAAAGAATGAGGAATTTCCGTTTCAAGCAGCGCAAAATCGATCCGTATTCACGAAGTGGTACGTTTTAGGACACTTCGAGACCGATTTCGATGCTTCCTTATCATTCAGGGAGGGCTGAGAGCAGTGGTATGGACGGATGTCTTCCAAGTTTCCATCATGGTGGCTGGCATGCTCATCATCGTTATTTATGGAACGGTCCTCGTCGGGGGAATCCACGAAGTCTGGCGGATCAATGCCGAATATCAACGAGTGACCTTCTTCAAGTGAGTCCTCCCGACGATGAACTAACGCGTACGCATTCCAGGGATCTACCGTATATCGACGTCGGTCTCTCAGTTTCTCAGGAGACATCTTCGAAAGACACACCTTCTGGTGGATTGTGAGCAACACGGCCATCGGGTGGATGTTGGTTCATGGTGCCAATCAGGCATCGGTTCAGCGGTACTGCAGTCTTCCCACGATAGGACAAGCCCGATGGTAAGTCTTCTGCACATTTGGGGCGGCGGAACGTCTCATCCTAGGGGCCCACAGTGGTTTCACGAAGGGAGATAGAATAGATTCCCTCCCCTTATCTTTGCTTGAACATGTTATTTAGCTACTAAAGTAACCAATGATTCCAGTTTTAGTTTAAAAATTCATTTACAAAATGGCAAAATAAGCTCAAAGCATGTCGTTTCTTAATGAGATTTATGGTGTTAAACCATGCTGTTACAGTTTTGATGTAGCTTTCAAGATAATTATGTATTTTACTCATTTCAGCTTAGTTGGGGACACCTAGGGATACGTAGCATCTGGCTCTAGCATGTGTACCAGTCGGTTTTTCACATTATTCATAGACTATTGCAAAAATTGGCCTTTTCATAAGCCTTTAGTTACAAGAAAAAACTATGCATAAGAGGTAAAAATGATGCGAGTTGATATTTGTCCTGGTGCATACAACCAGTTCCGTTATTCCAGTGAACATATGCACCAAGCTAAACCACGATAGCTCGAGAGAAGAGCCATGACAAGATAATTTAAGGTCACTTCGGGATTTCAAGAGACATCTGGAAGGTGTACCTAAAGTTTTTACCAAATAAATGTACTTTCGCTCCATAGGAATTTGAAATGTCTTTATCCCTGATGTGTACGTATTTCTATTTCGTATATAGTTTAAGAACACCAATGCCCGTGGTGTTCTCATGAAATAATGAGGTTTATGAATCCAGAGGTACGCTTCCGGATCCTATTAGACTAACCCCATCGTCTATTGGAGGCACGGAATCCTTCAATGTGCTTTTGTGTGAGGAATCTCTTTGTCACACTGTGAGGTGAAGGATCACCACACACCGGTGAACGGCTTCCAAGTTCAACTTAATGTTCGTCGCGATGTTCATCATTTGGTCCTCAGATAAGAGGGGCAATTTAGCCGTAAGTGACTTGGCAGTAAGTAGATTTGCTCCCACAAAAAAGTAATATTTGAGAGAACTAGGTGGCCTATTTATTGAAATGCCATGGCACCCTCATTTCAATAAATGCATGCGAATGTTAGTAATAAATTTTCAGGAACAATAATATAATGGAAATTCTCCAATTTTAAATCCTGTGCTGAGTTTGTTATCCGACAAGTGACGGATTCCAATTTTCTGGCGTTGTCACTCTGGTGAATATCTATATGTACTGGCGTTTCAAGGTAATTTATGGCTCGTCCGCCTAGTAGGAGTTGAGATGTCTGCCCTTTGCTGAACAAGTCAACACAACTTAAACATTATTAGCAGTTACTCTCTAACCTTTGAGTGCTGTGCGCGTGCTACGTCAGGAATATACCGATTTAGGTTTTCTCCAAGCCATATGTAAAGTCCAGATTTCCATTGGCAAAAAGTAGGTTGATTCCACTGTGCGTGTCATACCATCTCCGAAAAACATAACACAAACGAGATATACCAAGGCTATCGCAGCAACAAAGGGACCGGGGGATTAATATGCTCCGAGAGGAAGTTGGCGAGTACACGCTAATAATGTTTAGGCGGTGTTGAATTATTCTGCAAGACAGATATAATTCCATCACGACTCCTACTACGCGGGCGAGTCCTACATTACCCTGTAAGATTTCTTTTGGACGTTAGTACATACCGTCGATTTTGAACCGTCGATTGAACCGTAAAGAAGACCTTAGAACAGTCGATGCCATTCAAAAACTCGAGGACGGGATGTTGCATTGTCCCCATACGCGTGTTTCAGCATTCCAAAGGTCTCTGCAGCCGTTTTGCCCAATCTCTGTCAAAATTTCACATTAGCAAGCTGTTCGAAACGCGACATCTTCCCAAGGTGAGAGCAGACTGCCGACTGGCGGCTGAAGGATTGCACGTGGCGCAAACCAATAACTGCCAAGTGAGGCTCGGCACATGCGCTCTTGGAAAGCCCGTAGTGTAGAACCCTAGAAACGTTCACCAACATTTGTTTTTGGTATGCAACGTAACGTTCAGTCAGGGTGACCCGAGTCTCGAAACGTTTTGAACCTACCTTGTATATACGGATGGATTTTCTCCTTCAAGTGAAAATACGGCAATACTCAATCTCTATTTCCATCTGACCCCCCCCCCCCCCCAGTGGAATCACTGTGAAGTCAAGACATGGTTGCAGAATGCTTTCTCTCCTAAGAGAAAGCTTTCCGCAACTTTCTCTTCTGGCTGACCCCCTCTATATGGTCATTATTCTGTTATCGTCTCGAATGATTCTGTTTCACTGCAGGGCCTTACTCCTGAACGTCCCCGGGGTCGTGACCTTGGTGTGCCTGGCCTGTGCCGCAGGCGTGGTCATTTTCGCTAATTATGCCGACTGCGATCCCTTGAAGGCAGGCATAATCCAAAAGAAAGACGAAATCATCCCCTACTTTGTCACCGATAAATTGGGTCATCTCACAGGCCTACCTGGCGTTTTCCTCGCATGCCTCTTCAGCGGAGCCCTCAGGTATTTTCTGCACCTATTCTGCCTCGGTTTTTCTTGGAAACCAGCTGGATCTGTATCGCGGTCGATCTGAACGACGTGACGCTCTGTCACTTCTCCTACAGCACGCTCTCATCTGGTCTGAATTCCTTGGCTGCGGTGACATGGGAGGACGGCGTGAAACAGTTTCATTGGGGTCGGCAGTTGGACGAATCCAAAGCGGTTCTCCTCACCAAATTACTTTGTAGGACCTTGCAGACTTACTTCTCACTCTTCGGTGTCGGAATTAAGGAACAGTCGAACTTATATGTCCTTCTGCATCTTTAGCTGCGCTGTATGGCGTAATAGCCATTGGCCTGGCCCTCTTGGCTGGAAAACTGGGTGGGGTCCTTCAAGTGTGCGTCACGGTGACGTCTGTCATCGCTGCCCCTCTTCTCGTCCTCTTCCTCTCCTCCGTCATCTTTCCGTTCGTTAATAAAAAGGCGAGTCGCTTTTGCCTTCATTTCATTCGCAGGATATTGCTTGAAGGAGGTCATTGGACCCTCTGAGGAAGTGCACGGGGAACCTTTCATATGATCCAATATAGATTCTGAGAGATGTACATTTTAATGCACCTCGCTCGATTTGGACGAATTGGAGATGTTGCCTCGTAATTGTCCCCTGATGTGATTGAGGGTATGACATTAATGACTTTATTCTCCCGATCTTGACTATTTTTAATTTTTTTAAGGGCAAGGCATCAACTGCTAGATCTGAGTCCCAGCAGCAAAGTTTCTGCAGACAGGTGCAACGTAACGTCGAAGTGGCATTAAACAATTTATTTGCTTAACAATGTGAACATCATTACGTATCATATCGTTACCGTATTCTTAATTCCATGGAAGGTTCGCTGTTGACGTAATGAAAGAAGACGGAACTAGAGGCTATCTTTACCCCATGTTCTGTGAGAATATGACTTATAATTCTCTCTTTGTGAACCAAGAGCAGAATTTTTTTGCGTTTTTACCTCCGCATTCAAAGCGGTTTTACTCGTGTCGTCCAAATGAGGCGCATCCAAAATGCGGCGTAGTAAATAACTACGCACTGCAAGTGCCCTTTTCCATGTACATCCCTACATTGAAGAGTCGCAGTAGAAGTACGACGCATTTTCTACCCGACAAAGGCAGATCGACGGACGGAGAAAGGATATACTGTAAGAAGACGGAAAAGAGATCAGCTTAATCGATTTTCCTGTTTTCTAGCAGTAAATCCTGATCTTGACCCAGAAAAAAAAGGAGTATCGCCTAACGAATATGAAAGAACCCTTAGTGTGAAGGAACACCTGCATTGCAATGCTCTCGTCGACAACAGGTGGCCCGCGGAGGCCCTCCTTCTGGCCCTCGAAGGCCCTCCTTCTGGCCCTCGAAGGCCCTGCTATCGCACATTACGGTCTGACAGTAGATGTTCGGCTGCACATTGGACATTCGACGTTCGTTAACATTTTCATTTTAATGACACTTGATAGGGATTGACCTGCAAACGTGCAGCATTCTGCATCCGGCCCCCTTAAAATTCAGTTGCCGACTACTGCTCTCAAGTTTCCAAGTGGACTTCTGGTGTTCGGGTGTAGCATTCGTCCACGAGCCCTAGCAAAAGCTGTTGGTACGGGAGGTTTCACCTTCGAAGTGGGGTACGATTTAAACGAGGCAAGAGATACTTGGAATGACTTTAATACTAAGTCTGAATTTGGCTTCTTTAATTTTAGCTGCTTGCACTGCCTCAGACTAAGAGTCAGTGCAACTGAGGCTGAAGCCAGACTTTCCCAATTTAGGCTTTTTGAGGTCAGGAGAAAAATATCACCCCCTCCCCAATTCTCAGTCACACAGTATGCTCGATTGATTTTCTTTTTTTTTTTTATCTCAATGATGTAGCTTGAGAAACAGCTTTACTCTAGGGAATAGAAGCAACAGGCTTCTTCTGTCAATACATGCTTTGATTCTAAGGCTTCAAACAGTTTCATGCTTTGATTCTAAGACTTCCTCCCACTCTGACGAGGAGTGACCGTCCCCCTCTCGTCCCCAAAGCTACGCCATTTCTGTCTGGGTTTCATGTTTCGTCCTGAGTACGTTTTTTGTATAGTATAGGTCGTGCTGCAGTGAGGTTGTGTCTAATATACTTGACGGCTAAAGACCAATTAAAACAGTTCCTAACTTTAGCTTAATTTAATTTCTAACTTCTCCGACCCTCTGGGATCGGAAATTGTTGGAAAGTCCAAGTCTCAGTGGTCGATCGAATGGGACGCATTGTCATAGACTTGGAAATCTGTAGGGCGTCGTGTCGGGTGCCCTGGTGGCGTTGATGGTAGCAAGCTGGATAGGCTTCGGATCCTTCATCGTCGGAACGCCCAAGCCCGAACCGTTACCCTCATCCATTCGGGATTGCCCTTCGCATTTCAACCTCACAGAGGCTGTCCGCGGAACGGAACTGGCCGTTCAGTGAGTCCCTTCTGCGTTTTCACTTTTTAATGGATTTGTTTAGTCGGACGTGGAACCAAAGAACTGGCAGCGGCCCATCGAAAAATTTGCAATCGTGAAACAGGAAAGGAAGACTTTTTCCCTCGTTCTTAGGGTGTTAGAGGCAGGAAGAAGTGGTTCCACGATGCTAACAGCCCTCTTTCAGGTGCTCGAAATTGAAAACATCTTGCTGCATTGTTAGGGCCGAGGGGACGACGGAGAGGAGCGTCTATCACATTTCCTATCTGCTCTACATGCACATGGGATTAATCTCCGGCATGGTCGTCACCATCATCATGAGCCTTCTCACAGGTGAGTCATAGCATCTTTTCTGCCTTCCGTTAAATCTTAATCTTAATCTGCAATTGAAACCAATTTGTAAAAAAAGATGCTAGCTTGCACAATCGGTGGACACAAACGAAATTGACAGATATATATTAAACTTGGGGCAGGCTGCAGCAAGGAGGAAGAAATCCATGAAGGACTCGTCCTCGAAAGATGCCGGAAGTTGTTCGCCTGCCGTAGGTTGGCAGGAGATGCGTCTTATCATCTTGAGGTGACGGGAACGAGCATGTCCAGGAAGGACCCATCCTGCACAACCATCTGCTCCGAACTTATGCCTGAAAACTCCCAATCGCCTTGATTTTATAATATGCGTGTGCTGACGCTTTCTCTGGGCATGGGACCTGCTTCATGACGTAATAAAAATAAAAGGCTTTTCTCTAAAGTACTAATAGGATATTCCCTTCATATCCCACTGATGGAATAATCTGCATATACCGTATGTGAAGATTGGGTTCGATTGCTTCGTGCAAACTGCATTTCTGTATAGGAAGAGGTCTCATTGTGTCTTTTCCAGAAGTAGCTACGATATAACACCAATAGTTAGAGTGAAAATATTCTTCAATTATCTGAAGCTAGATGATACGGGAATATACCAATCCAGCTTGAATCTGTCCTCTCTGACTGACTCGCCTCACTTCAGCCTGAGACGAGAAGGTTGGTAGTAAAAAAGGAAAGCAGTCGATTGTTTTCCTCATCTCTGAATCTTGTTTCAGATTGTACGTCTACACACGCAGTATTCTGCATATAATAGAGCTAACCGAAACGAATTGTTACATTTCAGAAGTCAGCCTTTCAGGGAAACTGAAACTATTTCATTTAAAATGGTGGAAATAGGGATTTTCCTTCCGGGTGAAAGTCCCTCTAGATATCCGTGGAGATAGTTACAGGGTACCCTCTATGTGTCAGACGTAAGGTTTCTAGTAAGAACGAAATCTTTTGCAGCCAGTACTCAGTGTGGCTCCTGCAATGAGCGGAGGGTTTCAGGTCACTTTAAAATTTCAAACCGTTTTGGCATTCGATCTATACTGGAATTCCAATTGTTACAGAGTGATATTCACAGATACAACAGGAAAATACAAAAACCGTTCGTCGCATTATCAATATGTTAAAATGCTATTAGTGGCGTGCCCACAATACGAGGAGGTACCCCACCGACGGCCCATTTGTTTCTTGAGGATAGGTGATGCGGTCGGGGTCAAAATGTAAAATTTTTTTTTTAGATTAAACAGACTTTTTATTTGTATACACGCGTTCTTCATTGCTACCGTGAGGGTGTGGTGTGGGGAATCAGGATGAGATTGAACATGGAGTCCAAACCGTTATTTTCCTTTTCATCAGAACATCTAAGTTGTGGTTTACACCAGAGGAGGATGAAGTTTCTTTCTACAAACACTCCCCCCTCCCTCTTCCCCCGCAACGGGATCATTACAGATATGTGGCCTAACTTCCGAGACACAAGTAGATCACAGGTTCCAGTAACTAGCTGAAGGTTACAAATTAACTCAAGGAAGTAATTACTACGGACGGCATAAAGAAAAATACGCCTTCGGGAGAGTGAGTGAGAGAGAGAGAGAGAGAGAGAGAGAAGGGTGAGTCTGCGCTCATCTAGATGTCGCCCTTAACGCATCCGGAAGTGGGGTCGTCGAGGGAATGTCGTCGCTCCGTCGTCTGGACCCCCTGGACTTTCGTCATCCTCTCCCAGGTCAAAATTTCACGTGGGAGGCTGTGTTTCTCGCCGTTCGCATATCGTTCATGTATGAACAGCATCCATGCACTGTTCTTCACTTGAGTCAGAACATTTTTCACTGGACTTGGACACCCGTGCATGGGATGTTCCTGCAGGAGTATCTGGGTCAAAAGGGAAACACTGTGTAGGCCCATGACGTGCAATAAATATTTGCGATTTCCATCATTGGCTACCCCTTGGATCCTCGGTGCTCTGCTTAAGGCGGGCGAAAATATTTCATTCGGTCCTTGTCGGCTTGTAAATGTTACCAAAGTTGTGCGATTGAAATCCTACCTTCACACTTCACATATGGCAATATAGAATTTCAAATGTTCACGGCAGCACTAGTAGCCTGACCAACGCTGAGTGGCCTAGTTTCATTTAGGTTACTTACAACCAGCCTATGCCGTAGGACCGATTGCGACATCTGACTCATCACCAAGCACTCATTGTTACATGGGCAAGCAAGTATGGCCCCCTCCTCTGTTGTTTAATTTTATAATTCGTGGTTTAATGTATCTCCATTCGAGTGATTGAGTGTGTATATATATGGTGAAGTACCCTAAGAGGTCATAACCCAGGCCTATGTTAGCTGCTTCCAGAATTCCGGGGTTACAGTAGATAGATAAGCCAATCACAGCATGCTGCCAATAAACATCAGACACCGGGCATTAATTTCGCATACTTTTTTTTTTGCCATATGGCTTTGACTTGAGTATTGGGAAAGATAATACCTTGATAGAGGCATAGAATTCTAAGGACCGACTTGCTTGGCCTAAGAGTCCTTTCTATTAGAAATTGCAAAGATTTGACAAACTATGATGTGGACGAACTTAGGTGAGTTTTTTTCTCTTATATCCTTACCTTCTGTTGGAAGATACATTGTCTTCACAACTATCATGGGTCGGTCTAGGCCTGGCCTATCAGAACAACCGAAATCCTTAAGTCAACCTGGAGGTAGGAGAAGTTATGGGAAGTGACAAAAGAAAGAACATAATACTGGCCCCATGGAGGCTCCTACTTGTAGACAGATGAGCATAGTGACACCAAATTTGTACCTGAGTAGCTGAAATTCCAGGAGTCCCATGATGTAAAGGTTGATAGCCAAATTCCTGAAGAAGACAACAAATCAGATGCTTCTTAACTGCTTATCAGTACATGTTAAAGAGGAAGGATCAAGTGATAGCTCAAGTAGGGAAAGAAAAGATTTGAAGTGGACTGTACTGCTCCATTTGAGAAATTTTACCAGCCTGAGAAATAAAAACACCCTTTCAGAGCTTTCAGGCTGCTCTTTGATGGTGCCCTTGTGAACTCCATAGTTTGTTGGTCAATCTTGTTCTCTGTCCAGAGGACATGAGCTTCCATCCCAATGATATATGATGAGTCAAGGAATTTTTGCTATTTGCATGCACTAATCTTGTCAGGATGACATGCATTGAAGGCTGTTGATCTTTGGAGACAGATTTGTATCTGGTGTTGCTGCAATGCTCCTCAAATGTTTCCAAAAGCTTCATTGGTATATTCACTACAGTGACATTAGTCAAGAATCAAATGACCATCTGCACAAGAGCTTGCAAGAATATCTGCAAGAATTGGTTCACCAATTCTAGAGTTTTTGTTGAAAAATTCCTCAGGAGAGCAACCCCTTTGATATGGTAGTGCCTTACAAAGGTATGCCTATGGGTTTGGGAGGTCAGTAGTGATGCATCCGTGTTAGTCTGTCTCTCAAGGCTCAGATGCATGCACACAATTTGAAAATTATTTTGTAATCTTAATACCATGAAATATTGGAAGTAGTGTAAATGCATGACTTCCCAATAGGAGATATTCTAGATGTTACTCCAGGGAAGTCACACCCTTGACAAGGTTTCATATCCTTGAAAGATTTTATTCAATGCAAGTAAACAAACCAATGATATGGGGCAGGCTATCACATCTTGATGCTCCAGAAACCAGAGAAGGAAAGGAGGGATAAAGAGAGGTCAATGCCCTAAATGATGTCAGATGTGACAGGATTGATCTCTGGGTGGTGCACTCGCATGCAAAAAATAAATGCAAGCTCTGCCAAAAGGGTGATCCTGAATGAAATGCTGCAATTGGACTCACTGTTATTGGACTGGTAATTTTTTGAAAGTGCTTTGCTTCCTATCATGTTCCATAAGTCCATGGTCCTGCATATGTTGTCTTTGAATGAAATCTTGCATACAATGAATCTCTTTAAGCATATTTTATGTGTCTGGCACTGTAACAATATGGCAGCATACTGTTTCTTGGTTGTTGTATTGAATGGGAAATTATTTTCCCTATATTTACTTTTATTTGTCTTAATATTAGGGACACTTTTCAAGTTGTCTTTGTGAAGTCTTCCATACTAGTTAAAAAGACATTGAACACTCTCTTAAAAAGATATGATTTACTTCGATAGATTCAAGATCCTAAAGAACATAAGAATGAATTATAAGGAGGTAATTTTTCAAAACAGCTCTGTCGACATGGGACTAGTTGCACTTCTTCAGGTAAGTCATACTTTCATGTTAAGTCTAACTTTAGAAACTTGTTTTAAATTTTAGCTAGTTGCAGTCTGACTTTCAAATCTGTATAATAATGGCCTTGAAAAAAAAAAAACGCTCTCCCCTAAGCTTCTTTGTGGATGAATTCCAATCTTTCCACCTTCATTGCTCACAATTCTTTGCCACGACCCCAGCGAGTTCTATATCGTTGGGAAGCTCTCTCTTCCTTCTTGATTTGATTTTCAATGCATGAGGACTCTTGCAGGAGTCTAAACAGGACTGTGAATGAACGGAGAATGACGGAGAGATTCGTCCCTCCTGATGCTTCCTCCTGGAAAGGTTTTTGACCCCCTAGAGTGGTTGTGTAATTTTAGCAGTGGCAGCTCGTCAGGAGAGGCACGGGAGGCCCGGCCTCCTCAAAAATTCTCAGGAGACCCTTCTCTATACAACTGAAAATATCCATTCAGATTGCAGATAACTGAAAGACATCTCAGATAAACAATTGGGTTCATTCTCATTTTACACAAAACGAGCGAGGAGACTGGAGAGCGTCTTTCCTGTCGAAGAGGCAGCCTTTCAGAAGGAATTTTGTTGTGAAAACAGCGTGAGGTCTGAAGGTGCGAGGTCCGATGAGCATGGAGGATGTGGGATTAATGGTTGCCCCACGATTGGTTAGAAATTCCGCGGCACTGCCATGATACTGTTTGATTACTGACGTTCACTACGTACTGGCTCAGAAAGAGCCCGCGCAGTTTCTTCATTACGGCTTTTCCATGGCCATCCAGTGAATTTGTCATATTCAACGGATTTCCGCCTTTCGCGAAATCGCTTGTACAGCTCACATGAGAATTAGGATTACGCTGTTTCTCAGAATAAAGTTCGTTCTGAAAGGATACCGCTTCGGTGACAGACTCTCTCCATTCAGCTCTAACCTATGTGTTGAAGGAGGTTGCCAAGAAAGGGTTACAGTCAGTGTTCCAAGCGCTTTGTAAACGTTGGGAGAAGTGAAACTGAAACCTAACTTCCGTGCCTAGTTCACTCGTATAAAGGCCATTCCGGGAA